GTCTATGGAAACTTGAATAGAATCTGTATCCTGCTGTTTTAATTGTGTTGAATTGGTTCACAGTGCTTTTCATGTCTACTATATCCTTCTACATTTCTGTCCATTCATTCTACTAATTTTTGAGAGTTTGATATTGAAACTGCAACTAAACATCTTAATTTATCCACTTAAAAATAATTCTAATATATAGTAGGACTATATGTAATTTTGTTCTCTATTTTCTGTTTCCTGTAAATGTGTTACCATACTGTCATAATTAAAAGGGTAAAAAGGGGGGGGAAAGTTCTGATGCTGAAGGATATAATGATAGCAACAATAATAACACTGATGTGTAAGCACTTCCTTACAACAGCCCTGCTGGGCAGGCAGCCCATTTGATAGACTGAGAAGCTGAGGCTCAAACAGGTTAACTACAACTTGCCTGCTTCACTCAGCAATAGCACTATTATTTCACCTCTAAATCATGATCAAACAGACCCAGAGAAAGAATCTCTTGGTAGTTGAATTCACCCCTATCATTCCTGGGTTGGCACCCCTTGCCCATGTGAATGAGGGCCAAGAAGTTCCAGGTTTGGGAGAGCAGGCTGGGAGGGTAGAGGTGGTGGGTCCCATCCCTGACTGGGGAGGGGACCGGAGCAGGCTGTTCTCTGCTGTGCCCAGGGCAGGTCCTGGGCGACAGTCCAGGAGGCAGACTGGTCAGCGTGCAAACACGGAGCTTGTGTTGGTCCCCTGAGGCCCAGAGGAAGCTCCTCAAGGGGAGCCTGAGGTCTCCTGTGGGGTGTGACTGGACATGATGGAAGGACCACCTGAACTAGAACAGATTTGGAGGTTTCTGGAACATATTCTTCTAGGATCCAGGCATCCAGGAGACCCAGAAGAAGCAGGGGGCAAGTCTCTCTTCATCTTGCCTACTGCCAGTGGGAGCTTCTAGGAGGTCTTGACCACTCTATGCTGTCTTTATCAGCTCCCCTTGTCCCTGACACCTATATTTAGATTACAGGGCCTTTATGTCAACCTCTCTCTTGCCAGTACCTGCCCCATCATGTCACCATTGCCACCATGTCATCATGTCTCCAGGTGACACTCCAACCCGGGACCTGCATCTTAACCTCTGCATGCTGTTGAAGAACCCTCCCTCCCACCCCCTCACCGCTACCCGCATCGCCCAGTCCATGCCTCTGTTCCTGCCCGTTATCCAGTTTCCCATGGGCTCTCAAAGCCTCCATTTTCCAGCCTCCCTCGGGCTCTCAAAGTCTTCATTCCCCAGCATTCTCCAGGCTCTCAAAGCCTCTGGCAACCTTACTGCTTCCCTGTTTATTCTCCCTAGCAACTCTTTAAAATGGCCTCAATCTGCCTGTGATGCAGGAGACCTGGGTTCGACTGCTGGGTTGGGAAGATCCCCTGGAGAAGGAAATGGCAACCCACTCCAGTATTCTTGCCTGGAGAATCCCATGGGCAGAGGAGCCTGGCAGGCTACAGTCCATGGAGTCACAAGAGCTAGATACAACTTAGCGACTAAACCACCATCACCACTGCCTCAGAGAGAGTGGGTGTTGGTCAGTTTCCTGCTACAAAACTCACAAACTTACATGTGTCCACATTCTTCCTTCTCTCCTATCAAAATAGCATCATGAGCCCAATCACTCCACTGTGGGCTCCAGTCACTCCATTGTTGGCTCTGATCCACTCTCCCCACCTTCCTGCTCAGGGACTTAAAGACCTACTTCTTCTCTATCAATGTGGACCCATCATATCTGTCTGGTCCTAAAGAAGCTCCTCCAGGTAGATAGTCACAAAGACCCGTGAGTCCTACCTTCTGAGCATCCATAGAACCTATTCTATAAGACTGTCCTAGCAGACACCTCCTTGTCCAACCCTGTCATCTGGAGATGGCATCAATCTATGACTGGAGTCTGGCCCTCCACCCAGCTGATACCATCCTTCCCATGTTACAGTTGGGTACATAGATGATGATGTCCACTCCCTTTGGAACAAGTCCTCTGTGAGCAGAGACAGAGGCTTTCCCTGCCTCCGTTTTTGCCTCTTCCTATGAATTCTAAAATACAGTTTCAGCCAGGCCATTGTTTTCCTTACATTCCATCACTGGATTCCCCTTGACCTCAAGAAACTGTGCTACCTGCTAAGGAGACTCTGAAGCCCGGGAGGGGCCCAGGGCTCCCCTCAGGTGCGCCCTTGCCTCTTGCCCTCTAATGCTCCATGTTTCCACCACTAACAATCTCTGTGGTTCCTCAAAGGACCAGTTCTCTCATCTCTGGGCACTTCTGCTCTTTCTTCTTTCTGGGATTCTCTTCCCAACCTCTGTAGCTTGGCTGGCCGCTTCTCATCCCTCAGGAGCTTGCTGAGATGGCACTTCTGGGGCTGGTTGGTCATTTTTTCTTACTCTTTTTCTCCTTAGACCAATCTGGCCTTCAGAGGGCAGCTAGGCGAGTCCCAATCCCATTCTGGTTAGGTTACCACCCTAATTAAAACATTCCCAGGTTTCCCAGTGTCCTGAACACAAAGTCCAAATTCCTTAGCGTGGCTGACAAGACCATTTGACACACGAGAGTTAAGAAGGAGCAATTTCCTGGGAGCAGGGTGGAGGTTTCCTGCCCCATGATTCTCATTTTCTCACGATGAGGGAGGCCAAGCTGTTTGCAGAGAGCAGTGCCGGGGGCTGCGGGGGGAATGATGCTGGGGTGTGAAGGGAGTGGAGGGAACTTGAGGGCTCCTGTGGGAGCAGGAGCTGGCCTGGGAAACAGTGTAAATTGTGAACTGAGTTTCAGACCCGGCTGAGATTGGTGATGGGGAATCATGGTGACACCAGGCTGCCTGGCTCTTCAGATTTCTCTAGTAGCCACTTGCTGTGAGTGTTCATCCACAAAGGGGATTTTTGCTGGGAGGGAGGGACCAAAGGTCAGGCAGCTAGGTTGTTGAGGAGTCTGTCAAGGAGTGGGTGAGAGGATGAGTCACAGAGTCTTAACCAGATGGAATGAGAAGACAGAATGGACTGCTTTAAGAGAGAGGGAGAGAGCGTAGGTGGTCAGTGGATAGCTGGTTGTGATGGAGACCAAGATGGGCTTTAGTGAGATGCTTTGAGCCACAACCTGGAAGTGGGAGGTTGTGGGGTCGGCTTTAGTGAATGAGGAAGTATTAATATTTTTACCGTGCCCAGCTGTTATCTTCCTTCCCATGTTATAATTGGGTGTATAGATGATGACTCCCACTGCCCTTTGGAATAGGTCCTCTGTGGGCAGGAGCCATGCTCCTCATGTAGCGTCCTTCCCAGGAGAGTCTGACATGGCCTGACCCACGGTAACTGCTCATCCAGACATTTTCATATGTAACTCTTCCTCCTCCCGATTTTCCATGTTTCTGTTTTCCTTTAGTTTCTTGAAAGAAATTTTGTGAAAGAATCTAATCTCGTCTCAGCTGAAAAAAAACCCAGGATGTAACCGCCATTTTACAGGATGGAGAGGCATTCAGTGGTTCTCTGATGGCCCAGGAGTTGGGTGAGAGTGACAGCCCCTTCTCAGGAGCCCCGGAAGAATGAGTTACTGGGGCAGATGGTATGGGGCCTCAGGAGGGAAAGATTCAGGGCCAACAGCAGACAGTGGTATAACCTCCCGCCCTTCCCACTTCTAGGAGGGTCTCAATGAGCTGAGTCTTTAGTCCACCCATCCACACCCTACTATGTGCTGGGCTAGGAACACATGGATGAGCAGGACACAGACCCTGCCAGATCACCGTCTGGTTAAGGGGATAGATTCACAGAGAAAGAACTGCAGGCTGGTGTCTACAATGGAAGGTTTGGCCATAGCAAAGGGGTAACATGCTAGTGTAGGGAAAGAGGGTCAGGGAAGACTCCCGAGAACGTGGCTTCCTAGAGCCCAGGGTCTTGAAAAGTGCCACGGCAGAAGGGAGCCATGAAGCCTGGGAGGATGGTGAGAACATGGTGAGGTCACGCTGATGCTGCACCATGGCTGGCTCATGGGTGCGTTGAGTAGAGGGAGGCCAGTCCCGTCAGGGAGTCTGCACGTTAGCCTGCAAAAGCAGCGGGGAGCTTGGCACCTGAAGTCTTTAACCTGGATGCTGGGTGAAGGGTGAGACTGGGAGCTAGTTCAAGGTAGAGAGGAGAGGGGCTCACATTTGAATATGTGGAGTCTGAGATGCCCATGATATTCCCGGTGCTCCTCAACTTGCCTATTCTCTCTGCCCACGTTGTTCCCTGCCACGGCTGGCAACACCCTTCCCCTCATCCATCAGCTCAGCGTTTTCTCCAGGAAACTGCCTTGATCTTGGCAGCTGAAAGCGATTTTCCTGTCAGAGCCTCTGTAGCTCCACATTTAACACCTCTTAGGGCAGCACATCTGCCCGGCTCTCCCACCGCTCCTGGTTTCCTTGGTAGGGGTATCCCATGGTCTTCACCTTGCGAAGCAGGAAGTGATGAAACAATAACTCAGGCAACGAGTGTCCCTGCACCCACAGAGGGAGAGCCCTTTCAGGGCTGACCTTAAGCAGGAAGAGACTCTTATGCTCCAGCGGGCCTCCAACACTCCTCCCATGCCTGGGAACCCAGAGGTAGGCCAGCCGGTGCTGCGATTACACAGACCAGGATGTTCTGGTTTCAGAGGTGGGGTTGGGAGCTGCAGCCTCTGGAGAAGCCAGCTGATAAAACCTAAATACTCAGGCTTCATGTGAAACCAACACCTAAGCAGATGAGGACTCATCAGCCTCCCCGCCCACACCGCCTTCTCCCTGGGACCGAGGGCTGCCGCCTTCCTGAGGGCGAGCATCCCCTCACTCTTTCCCTCTCCAGCTTTCTAGTACCTATGAGGAGAAGCCACAGGCCCAGCGGAGGACACCTTCAAGGTTCCTCTGTTAGCCTGAGAGAGGCACGAAGCGCTCCTTGTGGGTGGGATGGCTGTGGTGGGGGGGGGGAAGGGGCAGGGCCAAGGGAAGGGATGGTTTCTAAGGGAGATGCTTAAAGGCAATACTAATAATAGCAGCCACCACTTTTATTGCACACCTGCCATGTGCCTGGCCCTTCCACACATCATCTCATTTGATCCTAACAATTGATGACCATGACTGTTTCTCTTAAGAGACTGGGGCTCAGAGAGGTTAAGCCACTTGCCCAAGGCCCTCAGCTGGTGAGTGGTAGAGGGGGGCTCTGTCCCCAGGCCTGTCATGCCAGGGCCTGTGTTCTGTCCACTTCACCACCACTCACTCTCCTAGATGAAGAGGGCTCACTTTGCAGTCTCTGCGGGTGGGCAGCGACCTCTCCTGGGGAAACAGGTGATGGGTGTTACAGGCAGAGCTGGCTCTCAGAGGTGTTAGGAACAGGGGTCAAGAATCTTCAGGGATCCCAGACCCTTCTCTGCCGAGAGGCTCGGAACACCGACAGACAACTCCATGAGCTCCAAGGAGAAGCAGTCCTCTCCTTGTGATGTGATGTGTGGGTGCAGGCCGGCTCCTTGTCACACAGTCACACAGTCCCTCAGCGGGCTGGGCAGTCCTGGGGACACACGTGCTGTCATTATCCCCTCGGTATGCGTGTGCACACACACTGGCACACACACTCACTCATGCCCGGGCACGGTTCTGTGGAGGCTGAGGGCAGGTCGGGGGAAGGAGGGCCCGGGCTCGGTCAGATGAGGCTGGCGATGCTGGACGTGGTCTCATGATGCTGACCGGCGGACAACTGTCCTGAGATGCTGAAGATGCTGCCGTTGCCGCTGCGGTCACTGCGGGTGGGGGGGGCGGCCATGCGGGTTGGGGGGCAGTGTCCGCTCACAGCCACCTGATAGAGCAGCAGGCCCAGCAGCAAGAGTGCACCAGAGGCAGCCAGGGTGATGCCCACGGATAGCATGGCAGCCAGCGGCCGGGCCGGGGCGGGGGCAGCAGCCAGCCCAGCCAGCGTCAGGCCGGTGACCAGCAACACCAGGCCGCTGAGCAGCACCACCAAGGCGTCCGCACCTCCTCCACTGCGCAGCAGGGCCACGTGGTGGGGCTGGCGGATGCAGTTCATGTCCTGCACGGCCGAGCTCATCAACTGCTTAACCAGGACCAGCAGGGCCAGCAGGCAGAGCGCCGTGCCCACTGCCAGGCGCCACTCCCCCGAGCGGCTGCTGGTGGAGGACAGCAGGGCCACGCCGCCTGCCCCACAGCCCGCCACGAGGCCCACGGCCACGGCGAAGCAGAGCGCTGAGCGCCGCGGCTGCTGTGACCACCACAGCTCCACCTGCTCTGCCAGCACATCCGGGGGCAGCCCCTGGCCCCGCCGGGCCTGAACCTCTCCTTCAGACATGGCTGATCTGGCACGAGTGAGCGCGGAGGGCAGCGTCAGTGGGCAGAGGTGCAGGTCATGGCCTGGAGCCCCCACCACCTGCGTGGCAGCTAGAGGCCCAGAGTCCCATTCCTCGTGTGGTCCAGGGCCTGGGCATCACCTGCCGGGAAGAATCACACTTGCTATCTCCCCAGTCCACCTGCCCCTTATGGTCTCTCCTGGGAGCCTTGGGGAATGCTCCTGTGTCCCCTGGGAATCCTCCCGCATCCCCTGCAATTCCCTGCCCCCCCCCACCCGGCCACCCAAGTCCCTCCCTAGCACTTTCCCTTGGGAATGCCTCTCCGGAGACCCCAGGAGAGCTCCCTCCACCCAAAGCACCCCCAGCCCTCTAGGGAACCCCCTGCCCAACCCCTGACCTCTCTGGCTCTGGCTGTCTCAGTTGCCTGTCCCATTCCGGCTGGCCAATGGAGCTGGTGTCACAGTGGACGATGGGACTGGATGAAGACTCGCAGATAAAGCCTCATTCAGGATCTGACTCACATGGCCTCAGCTGTCACCGCTGGCTCCTGGGGGGAGGGTTAAGGGGAGGGAGGGGGCTTATGATTTAACCCTTCTGGAACCAGCAGCCCGACCCTGCATCTTCTCTCTTGGGGCTGCGGCTCCTTCTCTGCGAGTCAGGATCTGACCCCTAACACCCTCCTTCCCCTGAGGTCCCATCCAATCTCATAGCCACAGCTGCTGGTTCCCGAATCCCTCTCTCTGCCAAACCCAGGTCTCCCTCCCAAGCTCCAGACCTGTAAGGTAGTAGTCACTTTGACGTCCCATAGGCACCTCTGACACAACAGGTCCCAACCCAAGCTTGTCACCTTACCCTGAACCTGCTTCTCCATTGCGCTCCTCCCTTGGGCACATCCCGGGGACGCCACCTCTGAACATTTTTCCGTCTCATCCCTGCCCTCATCCCTTACTCCTGTACTTCAACTTCTGTCCCCCACAACTCCCTCACTGCTCATCCTGCCTCCCCCACGCTGCTCCTCTCACAGCCCCCCACGCCACGATTTCTCCAACGTGGTACAAAGGGAAGGAGGGCTCTGGACTGGCCCCCCACTGCAGTCCCTCCACCGTGGGTGTGTGGGCGAGGGATCTTGCAGTGGTTCCTCATCGAACACGTCCTCCAGAGGCCAGTCAGAGTGACTCCCACCAGGCAAAATACAGCATTCCAGGCCCTGCCACAAGGATCCCCAGTTTACAGCAGGGGTGCTGCTGTGATGAGTGCTGGGCTGTGGGTTAGTCAGAGAGGGGTCTGCAGGAGGTCAGAGAAGCCCCCATGAGTTCACCTCTTGGAGCTCACGCTCCTAATCTGAAAAGTGAGGCCAATAACCTTTATCTGGGGGAAGGGGGCATTAAAAATCTCCAAGTCAGAATTTCAGTGGGAATTCTAGGGCCCGCAAAGGTGCAGAGTATTCTTTCGGAATAAAAGAACCCAGCAGATTCATGTCAATGTATGACAAAACCCACTACAATATTGTAAAGTAATTAGCCTCCAACTAATAAAAATAAATGACCAAAAAAAAAAAAAGAACCCAGCATTCTTTCATCCAATTTAGGACGAAGATATCTGCTTTATCTAGAGGACGCAGGCTCTAGGTCATTCTGGGAACGTGACTTCATGACTGTGCGTGGGTTACACCCCTGACGAGGTATCCGTCGTTCCAATCCCTCAGCAGGGACTGCGTGGCACGTGAGGCAGGAGGGGCAGCTGCAGATGCCCCCAGGGGAGGTGGGGGAGGGGCCGAGGAGGGGCCCTGGAATCAGTCCCAGCTTCCCCAGGACTGTGACTTCTCCAATCTGAAAGTGCTTGCACAGGTGTGCTGGGACCGCGGGCCCGGGGTTGGGGGTTCTCAAGGGAAGAGCCAGTGGGAGAAGGTGGGCTGGCAGGGGTAGGGGACCATGGGGCACTCACAAGAAGCCTGGAGTAGCTGGATCCGATCCCGAGCAGTCAGGGCGGGCAGGTGGGGCGCTCCAGCTCCGTTTCCGGGGAGGTGCTTCACCTGCCTAACCTACACCTGGGTGAGCTGAGGTGGGGGAGGGGGAGGAGGATCAACAGGTGTTTCCAAGGCAGAGCCTGAGCCGATTGGCTAACGTGGCACTGCTCCTTCTGCGGGGCTGAGGCATTCCAGGGAAGGGAGGGGCTTCTGTCTGCTGTTAGGGCTAGAACACAATTCCTAGACCTGGAGAGCAGGCAGGAATGTTGTCCATCTGCCCCAGAGCCTGGGCCTGAGCCCATCCCCCAGCTCCAACCTCTGTCTAGCTTTAACTCCAGCCTGCAACCCAACCCCAAAACCCAGCTGCAGTTTTAAACCCTACCTAGAACTCCTGGATCTAACTGAGGCCTCCACCTCACATCTCAGCCCCAACTCTGAATCTCAAATCCCAATCCTAACCCCAGCCCCATTTCCAAATCCAGTTCCAGTCCCAGCCCCAGATCCCGACCCCAAATCTGACTTGAAACCTCAGTTCCAAATTCTGGAATTAGGTCTTGGACTGCAACCTCATCCTTGGCCTCAAACTTGACCCATTTCTGAATGTAGCCCCCAAATTCTAACTCCAAACTCAAATCCTGCCTCTGCCCCAAATTCCAAAACCAGTTGTCCCACAAACCTAGCCCCACTACTTCCTTGTTACTTTCCCCTGGGCAGGAGCCCCCCAAGACCCTTGCCCATTTTCGTTCTAAGCCTCAAGGGCCTGACCAAGGTAGGTTTGCCCCACGTCTTGGTCCCGCTGAGGAGGCAGGGTTTGAGTGGACAGGGAGAACTGGGTAATGTCTCTTCAGGTAGAAAGCAAGGGTTCCCTTGCTTAAAACACTTGCAGAATAAACACTTGGGGATAAATGCCTTTCTCCTTCACAGGCTTATAAAACCCCTGCCATCAATACCAGCCAGTCATTTTCCTCTGGCCCCTGCCTTGCAGCCAGAATGCCTTTCTTTCAGTTATGCATGCTCTGCATTGCTCTGTCCTTCTGCTTGGTTTTTGAACTCAGAGTTCCCTTTCCCTGGGATATTTATAACACCCTCAACCTCAGTCTGACCAACTTGAATTCTTCAGCTGAGATGTCACCTCCTCCAGGAAGCCCTCCTTGACCTCCAGGCTGGTTCAGGTGCCTCTCTGGGGTGTCCATGGCCCTGGGGCTCCCCCCACCACTGCTCTTACTGCATGTGATATGAGTGCTCTTATTTACTAACCTGTCACCCCTCACTAGAAAAGACCCTGATGCTGGGAAAGACAGAAGGCAGGAGGAGAAGGAGATGACAGAAGGCGAGATGGTTGGATGACATGAGTTTGAGCAAGCTCTGGGAAATGGTGAAGGACAGGGAAGCCTGGTGTGCTGCAGTCCATGGGGTCACAAAGAGTCAGACACGACTCAGTGACTGAACAACAGCAATACCCCTCAATAGACATGAGGTTCCCACTGCATACAGGTTTAGTGCCTGTTTTGCTAACCACGGTGACCTCAGCAACCAGCTCTGTGCCTGGCACGTGGGAAGTAATCAGTAAATACTTGCTGAGTGAATGAATGTGCGAACTGCTGGATGTGGGGTTTTTACGCAGGGAGCTTGGGAGATGAAGCTGGAAAGACAAGTTTGGCTCAGGTGGCACAGGGCCTTGAATGCCCTGGTGAGGCATTTGGACTCACTTGAGGTACTCATGGAGGGTTCTGAAGTATAACAAGAACTTGGGCAGGGATCTGCTTCTGATGGGCGAATCTGGCACCACACGCCGCATAATGGGTGAGGTGGGCTGGTTTGGAAGTGGCTCTAGACTGGATCGAACCCCCTGTAATACCTCCTGCTCTCTCTTCCTTCTGGTGTGTATGAAACACACAAGAAAGACAAAATCAACATTTTCACTCCATCATCATCTCACAAAGTCATTATGCTGGACCCGTTCATTGCTTTGTCTGCAGAGATCATTGGGGCCTGGTCTTAACTCTAGAGCAGCATCGTCCAGTAGAAATATAACACAAGCCACATATGTAATTTAAAATTATCTAGTAACCACGTGAAAAAAGTAAAAAGAAACAGGTGAAATGAACACATTAAAATTTTTATTGAAGCCCCAGATTATTTTCATTTTACTACACAAGTGATTGAGCTATTTTAATCTTTAATTTTGTCTGTGTATTTTATACTTATAGTGCATCTCAGCTCAGACTAGCCATCTGTCTAAAGCTTTCCAGGTATGGCTTGCAAATATTTTACTGGATGGCTTCCCTTCAACGAAAAAGGGAAAGAGGCAGGCTGGACCTTGGGACAGATGTGGTTTTACTACTTTGCAAAACATTACAAAGAGTTCCCTGCCCTGGAGCGGGCATGGAGCAAGGACCTGGCAGGGCTCAGTGGCTGTGTATTCCTCTTGTTCCTCTGACATTCCTTTTCTTCCTGGTTCCAGAGAGGGGCCAGTTCCAGCCAAACCCATGGTCCGGCTGTCCTGAATAGAGCTGGACAGGGTAAGTCATGAGATTCGCCCCCCACTCCACTCACCCTCGCCCCCCACCCACTTCCTCTGGGGGTTTGAAGGGAATTTTTCTGGGTGGAGGGAGCAAAGCCTAAAAGCTTCTTCAGTTTAAACATTGATCAGGTGACACTCTGTTCTCATTATGGGTCTACTGAATAACCTGGAGTTCAGATGGACAGGCAGGCTCCTCGCAGGGCTGTTGAACTCTGTCCCCAAAGCAGAGGCCGCTGGGACAGCTCAGATGGCTGGTACTGGAGGCAGGGGGAGGAGGCGACAGTGGGCAGAGAATGTAAGGTGTGGATCCTAACTGATCCCTTAGCAGGTGGGAGGATCCAGGAGAAGGGAGGGGCCCTGCAGCCCAGCCTCCCTGCTTGGGCCAAGTTCCCACCTGACTATTCTCCACCCAGTAAGCTGCAGCGATCCTGTTACATTTGGAGCAGATAATGTCACTGCTCTGCCTCCAATGTCACCCCTCCAATGGCCTATCTTACCCAGAGAAATAGCCAGGGTCCTTCCACCATCTCGAACGCCTTCTCTGACTGCATTCCCTGCTGTCTCTCTTCTGCTTGTGATTGCTCAGAGCCTTTGCCTGGAATGCTTTCCTCCTTTGGGCTCCCTCCCTCACCTTTCTTCAGAAAGATGCTCAAATGTCCCCTTCTCAGGGAGCCTTCCCCTGCCATCCTGTCTAACAGGGGACTGTCGTACTGAGGGAAATAAGACAGAGAAGGAGAAATACTGTATGACACCCCTTACATGGGGAATCTAAAGCGAAGTGATACAAATAACTTATTTACAAAACAGATGCACACTCACAGACTTAGAGGAGGAACTTACGGTTGCCAGGGGGAAAAAGATGGAGGGAAGAGAGAGTGAGGGAGTTATGAACCTTATGAACAGTTATATTTAAAGTGGATGATCAACAAGGACCTACTATACAGCACAGGGACCTCTGTTCAACGTCAGGTGGCAGCCAGGATGGGAGGGGAGTTTGGGGGAGAATGGACCCATGCACATGTTTGGTTGAATCCCTTTGCTGTCCATTTGAGACTATCACAACATTGTTAATTGGCTATATTCCAGTACAAAATTAAAAATTAGAAAAAAAAAACACAGCCTTCCACATACTTCCTACCTCCCTGCCCTTAGTTCTCTGATTTCCTTTATTCTCACGTTTCTCCTTAGCTTTCTGCTGTCTAATATGCCATACATTCTTCTTATCTGCTTGGAATAGTGTCTGTCTACACCACTAGAAGAGAGAGATTTGTGTAGAGAGATCCTAGCCCATAGAACAGGCCTGGCAAATAATAGGTGTTCAGAAAACACATGGGCAGTAGAGAAAATTCTGGTTTTGAAATTAGATTGACCTTGAAGGCCCCAGTCCCAGCTCTAGTTGTGCAACCTTAGAAAAACGGCATAACCTCAGTGTGTCCCAAGCTCTTCATTTGCAAAACGTGGACAATGGTACTTAGTCTAAATAGCTGGGGGTGAGAATGAAGAATATAATTCATCCAGCAAACATTTACTGTTTCTCTTCTCTGGATCAGGCATTGCGCAGGTGGAGACAGCAGTGAGCAAAAGCGGTCCCGTCCCTGTTAAGCTGAAAGGCGGTTGGAGGACCAAGGGCTTGAAGCACAGGTGCAACAGTAGATCTTTGATGGCTCCATCCCCTCTGCCCCCACTCCAGATTCCATGACTGACAGCTGCTCCAGACAGACATCTTTTGGGTTATCTACCCTGCTCACAATGACCAACTTCACTCTGGGAATGAACCCCAGTAACCAGGATTCCATTCTGTGACCCAGCACCACCGGTACAGTTGATTGGATAGAAGTGAACTCCAGACTCAAGCTGTGTGTGTGTGTGCTAGGTCCCTTCATTGTGTCCAGTTCTTTGCGACCCTATGGACATTTGCAACCCCATGGACTACAGCCCGCCAGTCTCCTCTGTCCATGGGATTCTTCAGGCAAGAATACTAGAGTGGGTTGCCACGTCCTCCTCCAGTGGATCTTCCCGGCCCAGGGATCAAACACTAGTCTCTTGTGTCTCCTGCATTGGCAGGCGGGTTCTTTACCACTAGCACCACCTGGGAAACCAAACAGTTGCCTTTGGCAATTTGAAGTCAGACTAGGGACTCCATGTCAGCCTTATGGCATGTATTCATGTGATGCTAAGGGTTCCCTTCTGCCAGCTGAACTAGCAACAGGAGGCTGGTCTGCAGAGAGCCGAGAATAAGAGAGGGGGTGGATCCAGCCAAGTCCCAGGTCTTAGTTCAAGTCCTTCTCAAGACCTAATTGCATCTCAGCTCTGAGATTCCATGACACACTCCTACTGCTGCTGCTGCTAAGTTGCTTCAGTCGTGTCCGACTCTGTGCGAGCCCATAGATGGCAGCCCACCAGGCCCCCCTGTGCCTGGGATTCTCTAGGCAAGAAAACTGGGGTAGGTTGCCATTTCCTTCTCCAATGCATGAAAATGAAAAGTGAAAGTGAAGTCGCTCAGTCATGACACATCCCGAGGGCTAGAAAATAAACTCTACTTTTTGCTTAAACTGGCTAGAGTTGG